AATCAAGTTAAAAGAGCAATAATATATAAGTCATTCAGTTAATATAGAAATTTTGGGCCAGCCGTGGAGGCTTACACCTGTAATCTCAACATTTTGAGAGGCTGAGGCAGGCACATCACTTGAGCCCAGGAATTTGAGACAAGCCTGAGCAACATGGAGAAACCCTGTCTTTCCTCCAAAATACAAAAATTAACCAGGCATGGTGGCATGTGCTTCTAGTTCCAGCTACTCAGGAGGCTGAGGCATGAGAATAGTTTGAGCCTGGGAGGAAGAGGTTCCAGTGAGCCAAGATCACGCCGCTACACTCCAGCCTGGGCAACAGAGCAAGACCCTGTCTCAAAAAAAGAAACAGAAGAAAAAGAAAAGAAAAGAAATTCTGGGAATTCTAGCTTTCTCTTGGTGCATGCTATCATTCCATTGAAACAAGCAGTCTCTACATGCAGCAGACAAGTTCCTAGGGTATGCAGAAAGGGTCAATATCTTGGTTCTTGCTGCAAGAGAGTTAACTGCTGCTGGGACCTACAGTTGAGCAATGACTCAGGGACCTGGCTGGTAAAGAGGAAGGAAGTGGCTATGGAAAGTTGCTGTTAAGTAAATGGAGCCCCAGAGTAACATACAGTTGACCAAGTCACCCCACCCCCAACACCTACCATTACTGCAAGTAACAATGTGGAGACAGCCATGGAAGCTGCTGGGTCCATTTGTCCCTTATTTGAGTTTCCTTCATTACAGCTCTTACTGCTACTGAACTCTAATAACATGACATGGAAATGTATGGGATGAAGGAGCTGGGGGGAATTTGCCCTCAACTCCACATTCCCATGAGAGACTGATTTGTCTTTATATAAATAGCTATCAACTAAATTGAGATCGTTAAGTTATATCTTTGAAGATATCATGTAATTGCATTCATAAGAGGTATTCAAAATCATCATTTCATAAATTTTTCCAATATCCCTATGAGTAGGGATTGTTGTTCTATTTCACCAATGAGGTGAGTGAGGTGTCTCAGTACTAAATGTAGGAAAAGTACTTGATCTTAGTAGCATAATAGAAAGTACACTTTAAAATGAGAAGACATATTTTGACCATCAAACTAGCAAAGATATTTAAACTATAAAATTAGCAAGGTTTAAAAAAATAATGTTTTATGCTGGCAAGGTTATGCTGACATTGAAATGAAAATTCTCTTTCTGCTGATAAAAGTACATGTTGGTTAAGCCTCTCTGAAGAGCAATTTGCAATGTGTCTCAGGAAAATTATTCATATATTTAGATGCAGTAATTTTATTTCTGAGATTTCCTTCTAAGGAAGTAATAAGAAATGTGGACAACTTTTGCATTCAAAGATGTTTCTCAAAATGTTTTTCATAATGGTAAGAACTTGTATATAACAAATATTTAACCACAGGAAGTGGTTATGATATACCTACATAATGGAATATTATGGAGACTAAAATTATGTTTTTGAAAACTTTTAATGACATAAGAAAACATTTAGAATGTACTGTTAAGTGAAAAAAGTAGGATTAAAAACTTACATAATAGTATGATCGCAGTAATATAAAAATGTGTGTAAATCCATTCAAACTAGACTGGAAGAAGTAGAACTTAGTTAACGTGTTCAAGGTCAAATACCTGCCAAGCAGAGGAGCCAGCACCTAAACACAATTCTTCTGACACTAATTCCAGTATATCCTTCCCCATACTATGGTGTCTTAGAAAATATTCAGTTTGAGTAATACATTATTGTTTGTTTTATTAGCAAACAAACCATTCATGGAATTATGCTAAAATCCATTACTACTTTGATTAGTTTCAGTAATTCGAGTAAGTTTTGGGGTATTGCTCAACTTCCTCAGTCCTGCAAGTTGCTAATACCACATCCACATTTAAAACACCAAAGTATGCTAAGCCCACTACTAGGACTCAGTTTCCAAAATGTATTACCTGTACTAGATCTGTAACCCCCCTTAACACAGAGAGAATCATAGAATTTAGTATAGAAGATGACTTGGAGAGGTCATTTTTTTTCCCAGTAGTTTCCAAATTGAACTAAACAGCAAAATTACCAGGATGATTTTCTCAAAATACAGTTCCAGGTCCTACCCCAAGAGATTCTATTTTAGCAAGTCAGGGTGGAGCCCTGCCCTCTGTATTTTAAATAGTATCCTGGGCAGGACCATCAGTGGTAGAGATGTGTCTTATGAGGTCTCAACATGCACAGAGTTACATGTGGTGATTCCACTATTTCAGGTTGGAAAAACACCTCTTCAAAACCAGAGTTCATTTATAACGTGAGTATACTGGTCACTGAGCCCTGTAACCACTTGGCTCATTCTTTCAATGGTTTCTGGGGAAATCACTTTAACTTCCATTGATGCTTACAGTGGTTATTGACTGTTGCTTAACAAAAAATTCTCAAACTTGGTGGTATCAGAAAACAAACATTTATTATCTCATGGTTTCTATGGATCAAAAATCTGGGTGCAGTTTAACATTGGGCAGTCCTTGGTCAAGGTCTCTACCGAGGTTGTAGGCAAGCTATTGGTCAGGGCTGTGGTCTCATCTGAAGGCCAGAAAGAGTGAGAAAAAGGGAGGAAATCTGTTTCCAATTTTACTTATGCAGTTACTGGCAGGTCCTTCTTCACTGGGCTAAATCACAATGTGATAGCTGACTTCCCACAGAAAGAGAGAACAAAGAAAGTGGGAGTGAGAAAGTAAGAGTAAAAGAGAACAAGAGAGAGTGAGCAAGAAAATGTGCACCCATATGCACCCAAATGTGCACCAAAGATAGAGGCCACAATCTTTTTGTGATCTAATCTTGAAGTGACATCTCATCATTTTTTCATATTTGTTAGAAGCAAGTCAACTTCAGCACATAACCAAGGAGAGAAAATTACACAAGGATGTGAATACCAGAACCAAGAGTCATTGTGGACCATCCTAGGGAGTATTTGATCCACCATCCTGGGCAAATGGCAGAAATAAATTCCATACCAAACCGCCTTCACCACTATCCTTCCATTTCTACTTGGTTAAGTAAGCAGAGGTGAAGCTGGAGTGAACTCTGCATGTTTATGATAGTTAAACCAAGAGGGCCAAAGCAAAAGGAAATCTGCAAGTTTAGCGTGGGTCAGTGCTGGAATTTTCAAACATACAGCATGAGCTGTGAATATCATCTTAGGTATCAATGGTGAGACTTGATCAACAGGGTCACTCATTCTTTTTGTTCTTTGAAGAAGCACACATTTCAAATAGCCTTGGGGACTATTGTTTTCAATTTCTATTTTTTCTGGCTCTAACTTGTGTAATCATATTCAGTTCTTCTTGAAAAGATATTTGAATTCCATGGCCTGACCTCAACTGCCACTTGCTTAGGGGCTAATATAACTGTATCTCCCATTTTCTTTGAGAGAGAGAGAGAGAGAGAGAGAGAGAGAGAGAGAAACAACAAATATTGAGTAAAAAGTAAATGCATTTATGTATATTTTATGTATATATATATATATATATATATATAAATATGCAGTTGACTATTGAACTACACACATGGGTTTGAGCTGTGCAGGTTCACTTATAGGTGAATTTTTTTCAAGCAAATGCAGATTGAGGGATGCGAATCCTGGGTGTAGGGAGGGCAGAGTTTTCATGTACACAGGTTCTGTAGGGCCTACTCTAGGACTTGAGCATGTGGCGATTTTGGTATACGCTGGTGTCCACTCATGTACTGTGAACAACTGTGTGTGTACATGTATACGTGTATGTGTGTATATGTGCATGTATATATTTATATGTGTGTCTTTACATGTGCACATACACCACTCTTCCTTGGGACTATCTGGAGTGCCTTAGCTCACCCTCCATCTCCAGCTTAGCCTTGGGAGCAGAGCCTTCTAGTAATGTGAACAAAGCTAGGTTTCCAGACCCGACTAGTTTATCTGCTAGATCTACTGCACAGAGTTAAATCCAGCTTGCCATCTGGTTGCCAGATGCCCAGTGTGTTTTCCAGCATCTCAACTTGCTATTGAGTCACAGCCACAAACAAAAGCAGCAGATACAGCTGCCCAATGGCTGCTTGTAGGATGTAATGTTTTCTGTCCCTCCCCATGAAATCACTGGTGAGGAGGGAGTCCCCATTGTCATTTCAGCTGCCAAGACATTTCATGCTAATGACCTGTGAAGGGGAAGTCGCTAATGATATGAAATCCCTTTTTATGGCCAGGGCTGGGCCAAGGCCACCAGAGGGGTGGTGGAGAGGTTCTTAACAGCGGAGGCTGGTTCCTCTGTTTGTGGAAGGTGAGAGAACAGGCCAATCCATAAACAGTGCCCAAGTACTCTGTAGGCATCAGCCTGTTTCCATAAGCCTCTATCCCCTTCCTCTTTGATGCCTCAAAATTTTAGATGGGAGCCTAAGTTAGTTAGGTTCAGAGGGAAATAGAAGGAGAAATACTGTTGGCAGATCACCTAGGAAAACTAAAAGTAATTCCCAAGGTACCTATTTGAATTAAGGAAAGTCCCATAAAAAATTGCTATTCCATTGGAGTCCACGTCCACTCTAATTCAAGCCAGCTGATGGCCTGAAGATGTGAATGAAGGGGCGGCCAACGGAAGTGCATGTGGGGCAGTGGAAAGACCCTTGCCTGGGAGTCAGAGAATCTGCTCTGTGTCTCACTTTGTTATTTTTGGCGGTGTGATCTTGTGTAAAACACCAGAATTTTCTGAGTTTTCTGCATTTTATATCCTTATCTACGTGATATCATTAGCTACTTCAGGTGATTGTTATGAAATTAGGTGAGATTACATCCAGAGAAAGGGATATTAAAATGCTGTCACTATTTAAAAAATGTATATGTTTTTACCATTCTCTCCCTGTGACAGAAATTCTGCTACCAGAGAGGTATGACTCTTTGGGATAAGGTTCTGTTCTCTTGGTGACATTTTAAAAAAGCAAATGTCTGAAAAAAGTAACACAGGATTTGTGAATGATCAGTCAATATATTTCTTTTCCCCAGTAAATGGAGTGTTTTTATTTGTTTTAGAGGGATTTCATTTAGACAACTAAAAACAATTAGAAGCAATATACAATGAAAGAGAAATTAAACCAGTTACTTTACTGTGTATTCCCCCTTCTTTACAACTAAAGCAAAAAACAAACAAAACAAAACAAAAAACAGGCCTTCTGCCTTAAGGAAAAAAGTCAGAAAAATAAGCCAATATATTTTCTCCATAATAACATAAACAGCTACAAGAACCCTAACTGTAGTAAGAGAAATTGGATGTTGGCTTGTATATGTTCACTAAAAAGATGACAGGCCGCCGTGCTACAGGAGGGCCACTCCACCTTCCTTCATCAGATACTCCTGAGTTCTCAGTAGCACCAAGTTCGTTGTTCTAGCACCGGAGCGAATTCATTTTCCTCATTATTTACTGCTCTTTCTGCCTTAAGCGGAGAGTAAGTCTGGAAGGCTGATGCTTTTCTCTGCTTGCTCGTTTTAGTCTGCAGTTTTATGCCAACTGCGGCGTGTGATTGACTCTCAGGCCTTAACATCAGGAGTTGAAGAATAGATGCAATCTGAATTCTCTGAAGCAGTTTCTTCGAGTTCCTCTTCTGTTGTCTCTGGAAAACCAATCTTGGGCTTTGCAGCTCACCACTGTCTTCTTCAGGAAGCAGACATTTCCAGGCCATATGGTTCTCCTACCAGCGTTTGCCATAGTCTCAATGTTCCATCTTCAGAACCACAGGCACAGAGTTCTCCATCAGGACTAAATCTCACACAGTGAATAGGACTGAAGTGTTCCTTGTAGGATTCTAATTCTTCTCCACTATTATGATCATACTTATAAAGTTTAAAATCTTCATCACCTGCAACAAGAAATTTTTTCTCAGGATGAAGAGATGCAGAATTGATGTTTGCAGGAGCTTCAAAAGGTTTCAGTGGGTCCAAACTTACTGCACTATGAAAAACAATAGATTGTACATAAGTTACAACTGAAATCTCTCCCTCAGGAATATATTCCATGCTACTAACAGACATATTAAAATTTAGAGATTTCACTTCTGTCATAGTAGCATGATCCCAACGTCGAAGTTTTGTCCTCAGCAGAAAGAATCTGTTTATCCTCACTGCACCATAGAGCCTTTTTAATATGAGGAGTGTGACCACTCATTTCCTTAGGTTCTGCTTCGGATTTGTTCAAGTCATACATGCATACAGTTTGTCCTGTCCCACAGTTAACAAATAATGACTATCCTACTTGAAATCCACAGTCTTGACAAGGTGTTTAGAACCAGGGTCATCGATTCATCTCCTGAGACGGCATCCCACACTTTGGCTCTGAAATCTGCAGCTGCTGTAGCTGCTTTGGTGGCATCTTTATTCAGTGGTGCACCCTAAACAGCACCTTTACGATGCAAAAATGTTCCAATCCAGTCTCCTGTATCTCCCTGGTGTGGCATAGGTTTATCATCTTTGCAAGCGCTGATTAAGAAATACCCATAACGTGGCTGGGTGCGGTGGCTCACACCTACAATCCCAGCACTTTGGGAGGCTGAGGTATGTGGATCATGAGGTTAGGAGTTCAAGACCAGTCTGGGCAAGATGGTGAAACCCTGTCTCTACTCTAAAAATACAAAAATTAACCAGGTATGGTGGTGTGTGCCTGTGATCCCAGCTACTCAGGAGGCTGAGGCAGGAGAATCACTTGAATCCAGGAGAAGGCAGTTGCAGTGAGCAGAGATCACACTACTGCACTCCAGCCTGGCAACAGAGTGAGACTCCATCTCAAAAAAAAAAAAAGAAAAGAAAAATACCCATAAGGTGTGGTGCCACTGAGGGCCAAATCAACCACAGGCTGCATGTGGCCAGAGCAGGTGAGCAGTGTCTGTCTCATTGCCATGGCCGGGTGAACCCAGCATCCACACTGGCGAGCTTAGAGTTGTTGTCATTTCTCTCCTCTGCTGCAGTGCCTCGGGCTCCTTCAGGCCCCACTCTGATATTGGGGTTGGGCTGGGAAACAGGAAAAGGAGGGCAATCTGGTGGCACTGAGGTTAGAAAGGGGCGAAGGAGGAGTCAGGGAGTCTGTGACAGAGGGAAAGGAAGAAAGTGAGTATCTTAAAGTACTGAAGTAATAGGGATGCCAAAGAATAAAGGATTTAGAAGAAACAGGATTCTATTGTTAAAGAACAAAAATGTACTTAGAAGTCTGATCACAGGGAGAAGGGGACCCTCATGGCAGGGAGACCACTGGCTTAGAGTCTGATGTTTGAGTTAAAATCTCTCTTGCCAAGTAGTAAGTTCTTGTTTCCTGTTCACCAATATTTTCCACAGCTTATTGTGGTGCTTGGTGTACAATAGTTGCTCAATGAACACTTGTAGAATAAAAGTTGCATTTTGCTGACTTTGCCCTTTTGCCCAGGGTCAGCCATCAATCACCTGACTAATGGGCTTTGGGGACACTTCTGCATACACTCCCTTCCCTTCTCCTGTGTTACTTCTGAGGTGGGTGCAAACCCCCACATCTCTGGCTTTCTGAATTACCAGAAGCCCCAAACAGAGGTGTATGTGGTATGGCCCCTCCTAAAGACAGGCCAGTCCCTCATCCTCACCTAAGACTTCCTGGAGTCTGAATGGGCACTGATTCCAAGTGTGACATGCAGGTGTAGGTGAAGTCCCTGAGTCAGGCGCCTGGCCTGGAAGAAAAAGCAACATTGCCATTGGAGGCCAAGAAGCTAGCGGACTCCCATCTCTCCAGCCTGACCCCAAGAACCCAGCCACAGTCCTCCTCACTGTTTCGGGTTTCTGTTTTTATAACTACTCCTTCCTTGATCAGTTTTGTGATACTTCTGTATGAAACTACATTAAACCTTAGAGCTCCTGTGTGATTAGAGGGCAGGTAGATAGAGGCTCAGAAAAATAACAAAACAAGAACCAAAACAAACCAGTCAAACAAAAAGAGTTTGTCCAGTAACCAAGAGACTGAACTCAGGGGCCAAGAAAATCAGAAAATTTCAAATTAGTGAAGTCTCAAATTGGCTTTCACCTATTTAAAATAGCAGCTGAAATTTCCCTTTTTATACAGGGCATTGACAATACATTTGTTTAGAGTGTTAGGTGCCTGATCCTCAGAGCAGGCTAAAGCACCCTCTCTGGATTTTGCTGACACAAATGCAAAGGTTACCAATGCTGGGCCTTTGAGAGGGAATGGGAGGCATTGGCCCCAAATGGTAAAGTTGGTGAATCTTATCTTTCAGAAAAATGTCCCCTTGTTGATGTTTTATGTTCTGATCCAATATAATTATTCTCCCTTTTTTCCTCTCTAGAAATAAATTATTTTAAATATTAAAGTCAATATTTAATTGAAAAAATAATCATTTGGGGTGCAGTGGGAATTTTGTCATATCAAGGTGGGCTTCCTTGAGTCTCTCAGACTCTCCAAAGAAGCAACCACCTAATTCATATATGAGCAATGACAGGATGGCCAAGGGACATTCTGAAATTTTCAATGTTTATGAAGGAGAGTGAAATGAATGAATCCTTGGAATGAAAGTTTGTTGAACTCAGCAGAGATGAACTCAGACTGTGAGGGAAGCTTGATCGCAGTACTCAACCAAACCTAGAGCCCAGGGTTGCAGAAATCCAGAAGGAAGAGTCCTCTTGCCATAGGGTGAGCGGTGAGCTGTCTATACCTGGGCAATGACAGTTTAGAATCAATTGTTTTGATACTAAATCAAAACAATTCGTCAGTCTAGACCAGGTAAGCAAAAAGGCCAAAAGGTGTTTTCAGAATTACAGGCATTATCAGAAATATATTTCAAGGAGATTTTTTTTTCTCCTATAATACTGATGTTATAACATGAGTTTTGGGAAGTGTCACTTGGTTGGAAGGTGTTCCTAAACCAATTTCTGAATCTCTTCTGTACTGGCTCAGTTCTGATGCACACAGAGCTTTCCTCAGCTTTTGGGCAGAGTCCACTTGAGATACATCATAGGATCGGGGTCTCCATGTCTTCAGTTCCTGTTCTCACTAAAGTAGGTGAGAGTAAGGCCAAGTGTGTAAACGGCAGAATGGCTATTTATCAAGCACAGACTGCATGCCAGGAACACTGCTAAGTATTTTGTATATATTATATTTTTTGCAGGTTTATTGACATATTACTGATGTGCAATAGGCTACATATATTCAACATGTACACTTTGGTGGTTTTACATATGTATATACCCATGAAACCATTGCCACAATCAATAATGAACATACCAATCACCCCAAAGGTTCCCTGATGTCCCTTTTTGAATCTTCCCTCTCACCTCTCCCTGGCCCATACCCCCAACCTCAGACAACCACTCACATGTCTTCTGTCATTATAGGCTGTGTTTTCTAAATATTTATATGAATGGAATCATGCAGTATGGCCCCTTTTTCATCTGACTTCTTCACTCAGCATAATTATTTTGAGGTTTGTTCATGCTATTACATATAATAATAGTAATAGTTCATTCCTTTTTAAGTATTTTATTGTATGGATTTCCCACTGTTTGTTTATCCAATCACCGATTGACAAACATTTGAATCATTTCCAGATATAGAGCACATTAATTAAGCAGGTTTTAGAACTTAGGTCATTTGTTTCCTTTAATCCCTAGAATGAAGTTCCAGAAAACATTTTCTGAAAATAGCCAGGAGTCCAGAAGTCAAGTTGAACCTTCTTCAAGAGACCAACTTCTTTCTATTAGCCGTCCAGGGATCCAGATGCTTGCTAACGTCCGGTGCAGGCCTATCTCGGAACACTCCTCACAACAGAGGGGTACTGATGGCTGAGCAGACTGTACCCTGGGCAAGCTGAACCCAAGGCACAGAAGCAGGCAGAGTCCCAGTTCCCTGTTCCTCCAGCAGCCTTAGGTACAAGCGCACCATCTTGCCTCAGTGTTGGAATTCTTCAGAACCGGTATTGCATCCATATCTCTATCTCTTCTCATTAAAGCACTTCTGATTCTCTCACTCAGCCCCAGCACAGGGTGGTGGGAGTGGAGGAGGTCCTGGAATAAGTCACTTCATAGGCATGGACAAAAGAGGGATGATGCCAGTGGGAAGCAGGGGGAATGGGAGGCAAAGCTCCACGCTGGAACTGTTGCTGAAGAGCATGGGCGCAGAGGCCTCTTCCCTGGCAGTATTCCCAGGTGCTGGTGGTGCAGGATGCTTTCACAGCAGTATTCAAGGGACCATGAGACTCCATAGGTTCAGTTTAGAGGACTTCGCACCCTCCATGGCCTGACCTACAATGATTGGCATGTGGCTTTTAGTTTTTACGCAGTCACACCTCAGGGTGAGCCAGCTCTGCACTAGGATGCCCTGCTTTCCCTGCAGCCTCACAGGCCTGAACTGCATGATCATACCCTGTGACTCAGTGCTGGCTGAGCTTGGTCCTATTACATCTGAAACTCAAGGTAATATGTCAGTGGCCAGGATTCATGCTCAGAACCACCTTGAAAGTCTGTACTGTTACCACCATGTCGCAGAGGTAGAAGTAGATGTCTCTATAAACAACCTTTGGGTAGCAGGTGGTCAGTTAGGCAGGAAAAATGGTTCTGTTACATTATATGTATCAAGAGTATATTGACAGGAACATGTGTGCTGGGAATACATATGTTAGGAAAACCATGAGTTAAAAAAGGCCTTGCCAGTTCTGAGCAAGTTACCTCAGACATCTTGCTGGAGTTTTTGCTATACGGAATTGGTCGTTCCTGGAGATGTCAGTTACCTAGCACAAGAATTGCAAAGAACAAGGTTGGCCATGGAAACCCTTCCTAATGCAGATAACTATGTGTTTAAGAACAGGTGCACAGCAGCAGATGCCTAAGCTGCACAGGCTTGGGCAAGCCACTGCCCTCTTAGCATCTGTTTTCTCATCTACAAAATATGAAAAATAATTGAATTTTCTTCAACACTTGTGAATATGCAATGTGATGATAAATGTTGAGTTTAACACTGTGCCTACTGTGGTAAGAGCTCTGCTCTTAACTCTGTTAGGAGTGTTCTCCTGCCTTCACACTTCAGACAGATATGCAATCAACTAAGTGTCCATCAATGGATGACTGGATGTAGAACACATGAGATATAAATATACAGATATAAATATCTGTGATATAAATATACATAAATGTGATATATATATCACGTATGTATACTACTCAACCATAAAAAAGAATGAAATCATGTCTTTTGCAGCAACATAGATGGAACTGGAGGCCATTAATCCTAAGTGAAACAATTGAGACACAGAAAGACAAATACCGCATGTTCTCATATATAAGTGCGATCCAAATAATGTGTACACATGGACATAGAGGGTAGAGTAACAGACATTGGAGATTTAGAAGGGTGGGAAGTGGGTGACGGATGAGAAATTACTTAATGGGTACAATATACACTATTCAAATAATGGGTACGCTAAAAGCTCAGATTTCATCACTGTGTAACATATCCATGTAACAAAATGGCACCTGTACCCCTAAGTATAATATATATATATATATATATATATATATATATATATATGTGTGTGTGTGTGTGTGTGTGTATATATATATATGTATATGTATATGTATTTTTTGAATGACCTACCAAGTCACTCAGACCTCAGCAAAATATAGAAATTGGGGCCCTTAGTGATACAGTCAGATCTCATTCACATTAAGGTTGCTGGTCTTTCTTCATATTTTGGGGCAGGGGAGAGAGGGCTTCATTGTTATGTTTCGGACAACTAATCACTTTCTGTGCCCTCTGCCAGCTTGGTTACAATCAGCTTCCTCTGGCAGCCCATCTAGAAGTGAGTTCAATCGCCTGTATGTGGGTGAGTGTGTGTATATGTACTCCATTTCCTTCCATTAACACAGGGACCATTTCTCACCTTGTTTTCAAGCTTTGCAGCCAAACTGAGTACAGGGCTCTTATTGATTTTTGTGGCCTGGAGTTGGGTTTCTTCAGTGAAAATGAAACTTACTCAGATCAGTCCCATGGAGCATGGAGCATGCGGAGAAATGAGCCATAAATTCAGGTGTACCCGAGTAGGGGCTGCAGTTGGATGTGGTTCTTTCTTTGAGTGCAGGCCAAATGTTGCAGTTGGGCTTACACTGGCTGTACAGGGAAGATTTGTGGAGCTTTTACTATGAAACACAATTTCCATTATTCACCCTACTCACATGCATTCTGCTAGAAAAAAGAATTCCCACTGTAGATTTGAGTTAACTAGTTCTGAAGCCAGTAAATTTGAAGTGGAGAGGCATGAAAAGGGGGAGGTTTTCCATTCTAGCCCCATGTGTTTATCATTGCTGAGCACTTACGTGTTAGGGAAGGAAGAAATGTTCTTACACTGGATTAAACTTTGCAAGCAGCATTATTGTTCTGTAGACGAATAGGGTTTCATTTTTTAAAGTTAACGAAATTGACAACTTTTGGAAAGGATTTGAACCGTATGTCTATTTCTGTCAGACAAACACAGCGAATGACTTCTTAATTCTTCTGCTGGATGTTAGACTTGGTACCTTTACTAAAGGCCACTAGATTGAATTGTTATGTTCCAGGGATGGGGTTTGACATAATGGAATATCCATATTTATGTAGGGTGAGTGGACTTCTTATCTAGAATGAGACAACCAACCAGCCAACTTCTGAGGTTGAGAACATGACTTTGGCCCTTCTCTTAATTTCTAAAGGGATTTAACCTCAGAGTTTCACGTATTGAAATGAGCAGAGCCTGCAGAAGTTGCTCATTGCGAACACCTTTCTTTTAGTTATTTTTTCGATGATATGAAAAGACTGCTGACTGATAGTTTGCTGTTTTTAAATAAAACTTCTGTGAAGAGAGTCAAGGTAGAATTTCCTCCCTGTATTTTGTTTGCTTCCTTTCTTCCCACTTCTCTTTACTCATCTTGCCAAAACTAACGTTTCTGTATGGCCTTGGTATGCTTTGTCCTCTAGTAGGACTTTTGATCTCTAAAGATTTAAAGTTTGGAATAAGCATTGGTGGCCTTGGGTTTGAAAAAAATCCTTTTTAATATCCGTAAGGTTTTGCTTTTTTGAACATCCATTGCCCAGTAATGTGGCTTACCTTATGTAAGTCCAATGAATCAATTCAACACAGTATTGGACAAATATCTGGTAAGTTTGAAACAGTATAACTGGCTGAAATAAGCTTTTCAGAAGTCATGAATTCACTGTAAGTGACTCTCAGAACTTTGCATGTAGAACTGGCTTAGGAATCCAGATGGGGGCCTGAATCAAGCAGAGAGTATCTCTCAATCTTAATTCTAGTTGGTATTGCTTTAGCAACTCTTAAGGAACCATGGTAATCTTTCCTTTTCCCCAGTTTGTGGTTCATTCTCCTTCAAAGGAAAGGTCATTCCCATTTGTTGGTTATTATGGAGCAACTTAAGAACCAAATCAGTAAGACCACTTCCCATAGCTAAAATCCATGTGGCCAGCACCTGAGTTCTGTTTCAACACCTGGGCTTATCTATGCAACCACCTGCAAATTCTGACCACTGATCGTGAGGTGAGTTAAGTGTGTGGATAAACCAAACAGATTCACTTCACTCCTGGAAACCTACTATATTAGTCCATTTTCATGCTGCTGATAAAGACATACCTGAGACCGAGCAATTTACAAAAGAGGTTTAATTGAACTCACAGTTCCACATGACTGCGGAGGCCTCACAATCATGGCGGAAGGCAAGGAGGAGCAAGTCACATCTTACATGGATGACAGCAAGCAAAAAGAGAGAGCTTGTGCAGAGAAACTCCCATGTTAAAAACCATCAGAATCATGAGAACAGCATGGGAAAGACCTGTCCCCATGATTCAATCACCTCCCACTGGGTCTCTCCCACAACATGTGGGAATTCAAGATGAGATTTGGGCAGGGACACAGCCAAACCACATCAATTGCCCAGGGCTGGACAGTGGTGGGAGGTTTGGGAGATGATGGCTAATGGGTTCAAGGTTTCCTTTTGGGTTAATGAAAATATTGTGATATTGATTGAGGTAATGGTTGCAAAATTCTGTGACTATATTAAAAGCTATTGCATTGTACACTTTAAAAGAGTGAATTGTATAATATATGAATTACATCTCAATAAAACTGTTACACAGAAAGAAAAAGATGAGTGGGTTCAGAGATATTAGGTGGCCACAAATAATCAATGTCTATTATAGGACGTTACAATACTTTCAGCTGAGAAATTAAGAACAAGCCAGAAAATAATACCCCATGGTCTCCCTGGACTAGGCCGAAGTGTCGCCTTTCCTCAGCCTAATTCTAAATCAACTTGACATGCCCAATGGCAGCACTGGCATTACTGCTCTTTTACCATGATGCCAATGTCCTTCTGGAATCTTTGGGAACAAGGGAACTGGCTATGACCAGTGTCATTCCTTTGATGTCCAGAATGCATGTGGCTGCCCTGGTAAGTGCCCCTTTCCTTAGCCTAAACTCTGAGTGCATCCCTGAGAATCTATATATGGTAGAGGAGGTAGAGAGCTTCTCAGAGACACAGATTTTTCAGTCCTGGAATATTTGCATTTTCCAGTTAAATGTGCATTCATTAGCCACATAACACCATTTTGGTCAACAATAGACTGTATACATGAAGTCTGTCCCAGTCAAAAACACTGTATTTTTACTGTACTTTTCCATGTTTAGATACATGAATGCTTATCATTGCATTACAACTACCCACAGTATTCAGTACAGTACATACTGTACAGGTGTGTACACTAGGAACAATAGGCTACACCATGCAGCCTAGGTGTATAGTAAGCTGTGGCATCCAGGTTTGTGTAAGTAGCCTCTATGGTATTTACATAATGATTAAATCATCTAACAATGCATTTCTCAGAACATATCCTCCTTGTTAAGCATTGCATGTCTGTACTTCAAAAATGTTTAACCTAGAAGGGCATTTCTGTAAGATTCAACAGAGCCTGCTCTGGTTATTTATTTTGCCTCTTTTTTTTTTAGCATTATCTCTTAATCCCTGTTTGGCCCTTCTGCATTACAAGGCCTCTTACTCATCTCCACTGTGGACTTCCCTCAGACTCTAGTCACTTGCTAATTGGCTTGATATTTTATTTTCCTTCTTGTGAATTTATTTGCAATTTTGTCATTGCCCAAATAGAAGTATGTATAAGAGAGAATGCTTGGTAAGTGGGTGGAGGTGGGGGAAATGGGTCAATGAAAACTTTTTAGAGTAGAATATTTTGGACTTGCAAGCTCTCAAGGATTGATGGAGAAAGGAAAGGGAACATGGGGAGACATGGAGGAAGAGAAAAGAAACTTCCAGCTATGTAAGCAAAGTCACAGCGTACTCGACATAGTCCGGAGCACAGAGGCAGCTGTGAATAGTTTGATTTGGCTTCAATGTAGGCTGCAAAGTGGGAATGGGGCAAGAGGTGAACCTGGGCAGGTGGGCTGGGCCAGAGAAAAGCCCAGAGAGCCAGGGGAGCAGGAGAGAGACTGTCTAGGCCAGATCTGTTACAACATACTCTTAAGGCGTTAAGTGGTGATCAAACTAAAAGGTTGATGGACATTTTTCAGGGACTGGCTTCTTTTGATTCACCCTGAAGTCTGCTAAATTATTCCAGAAAATGGAATCCAGGAACTCGTGTGGAGCAATGCAAGGAAATTGGCCCTCATGAGCATTCACAAGTATCCAGATAAGCTTAAAATCCATGTCGATAGGTAGAGAAGGAAGCAAAAAGGCAGCATGAGAGTTCGTAGGTGAAAGTCAAAAAAAAGCCTCATTCCACTGCCCTGAGCATAAGTCACAGATGGCCCTGCCCCAAAGGGCTTCTGGAAAATGAAATCTAACGAGCAGAGATAAAGCAAAAATGACTGCAAATGTTTTATGCAAAAGTTTTAAAGGATGCTCTTCTAATCCTTTAAACGACTTCTTCCTCTGGATTCAAAGTCAGAAATCTTAGAGCTAAAGGCACCAGTCATGACAAATCATCCATGCTTCTTCCTTCCATTCATCCATCATTAATATATCCATATAACTATCCGTTCATAGTCAGGCTTTGAATCTCTAGTACCTAATATATTCTGTGCTC